TGTGCTGAAATACAGGATTCCCTCTCATCTCTGGACTGGGCTGAGTGGGTCGTTTGGTTATTTTAACTATTTATACTTTATTGATCTTCATACTGTATCTTGTTTATGATACTGAAGACAATCTCTTCTCTAGCAGTCATTTTCTTATGAATTCTAGTGGCCTGTGTCTGCCCATGTTGTCCTTCCTACGTTTGGTAGAAATCTTGCATGATTGTGTTACATGATAGTTATGGCTAGAATATTCCGCCTGTTGGTTTCTTTACAGAGAATTGCCCGTCTTTGCACTTAATGTGCTTCTAAAGCTATGGTTTAGGCTGCTTTTTTCCTTCCTGCAAAAACCTTTGTTTATACTGCCGTTCTGAACAATTACTGAAAGGTCTTCATAGCATGGCACGATTCTGATTTCAGTCGTTTTACCCTTAAGCAGCATAATATTTGAGAATCTTTCAGAGGCATGTCTTACCTAATTCATATAAAGCTTCAGAGTTGGTCTTACCTTCATTTTATATAATTTAAATTTTACAATCTTACTAGTATGCTTTTATTAGTTAAACCAACCTCCTTAATTTCTTTAAAAATAACGGTTTTAAAATAATTCCCATCAGGAAAATGAAACACAAGTTGAGGAATCTCCCAGCAGTTCAAAAGAAGAAGTAAGTACTTCCAAAAATAGAATTTGATTTGATCGTTTTGTCTACTGTGTATCTCCTAGGCCTAGGCCAAAGGACTCTCACAAACAACAACTTGTCCACCATCAAGGAAGCTTATGGATAACACGTAACCTGGTTTGCATCACAAGAAAGAGCATCCTGTTTATCACCTCTGGACCAAGCTAGGTCATCTGCAACTCAAAGGTTTCCATGGCAATGCAACTTTATCACCTGGACCAAATGGTCTCATTGAAGTTTAGGGTAGAATTTGAATATTGCCCACTCCCCTCTAGGTAGACACGTCACTTCCCAACAACCAATAGGATTAGGGAAGGGGACGGACCTAAGAACAGGAGGTTGGCACTCAGGCCAAACCCCAAACAAGGTGATAAAAGACTGGAGCAACCTTTGTTCCATGCTAGCCGCCTTTTCCCCACCTTCTGCAACTTAAGTTCTGCCAGCTAGCAACCAGCTAGCTAGCCATCTTCTCCCCCCCCCCCAACCTAGGCAACTGAAGCTCTGCTAGGGGTAATTCTCACGTGCTTTCTTGGAGGCCTACAAGAGCGCCCACACGTGTTGGCTGGTTCCATGCGTGTGCAGTAGAATCCCTCTGGCTAGATCTTTGTGTTCCTGCTTTCTTAATTGAGAAGATTAACTCCATCTTCTGGGATCAGATAAGTATTAACCGGCATCCTTTCTGTGTATTACCTCCCAGTTGGTCTAAAGTTATTATTTTCCATACTGAATGTTTTCCATTGCTACTGTACCTAAGGAATCTTGTGTGTTTGTGTGAATGCATGTGTTTTTGTATGCTTGAAAATACCAACTATATTTAGTAAAGACAACCATTTATTCTTTAAACATCCAGTTGTGTTGTCTCTTTCAAAAAGGGGAGAAAGGAGGGCTTCCGGTCGGGCTAAAATGGCGAATTGACGCATCTCACGATTGTGTGAGGTGGACGGCAGCTTCTTTCGACAGTTTGGGCACTAATTTGCCCAACGCAGCACCCCCCAGGTAGGGGGGTTGACTAGCAGAGCATCAAGATCCGAGCGGAGGTTGAGATTGGCGTGATACCAGCTTTGGAGGAAGCTGGTGCCGCGCTTTGATCCCCCCCACGAAGAGGACTTTTGCGATTCAACACTCAAGAAGCTGACTATTTATCCTAGAAGATCCGAAAGAATCCTCGCAAGAACTTTTGAAAGTTATTCAGGAATACGGTCAAGTAGCGGGTCTAAAAATCAATCACAACAAAACTAAATTATTAACAAAAAACTGTGACGCTGAAACCAAACAGGAATTGCAAAACTCAACCTCGATAGAAATAGTTAAGAAAGTTAAATATCTAGGAATAATAATGTCAAATCGGAGTAGCACACTAATTGAAGATAATTACACAAAGTTACTGGATGAGATTGAAAAAGACTTGATGAAATGGAAAGATCTGCATCTTTCACTTTCGGGAAGGATTGCAACGATTAAAATGAATATCCTGCCAAGATTCCTTTTCCTAGCCCAAAACATCCCTGTGTTAAAAAGACAGCAATATTTTGAAAAATTAGAGAAGATAACTAAACACTTTATATGGAATGCAAAAAGAGCAAGAATCAAAATTAAACTATTACAAGATAGAAAAGATAGAGGTGGAATGGCGCTACCTAATTGGAACTTATACTATCAAGCGGCGTGCTTAGGTTGGATTAAAGATTGGATTAACTTGGAAGATGCAAGATGTCTAAATTTAGAGGGGGCAGACCTAGTTATGTGCTGGCACGCTTACATTTGGTATGGAAAGGATAAATCACATCCCCATTTCAAAAATAACATTTTAAGAGCGGCCTTGCTTAATGTATGAGATAAAATAAAATGGAAATTCTACACTAAAATCCCAAAATGGGTCTCACCTCTAGAAGCTTTTATATTACCATCGCTGTTAACGAAACATAATAAAGAATCATATGAAAACCTACTGGATGAAACAAACAAGTTAAAACAGCGGAAAACCTAACCATACAACAAAATATCCATTTATCTTTTTTTTTTTTTTTTTAAGATCCCTTGTTTGTGTTTATTTCCTGGACAACCGGAAGTGGAACTCATTCTTTTAAAAAAAAGGAACCCCCCCCCCAAAAAAAGGACTAACACAAATCCTCAAAAGCCTTATACTGCAGCGGCTCTTCAACCTTATACATGAATGGGGGCTATTAAAAATGTTTTAAATAAATAAAGCTTGTTCTAAAAGGAGAGGATCTGAATTCTCATATGAGTCCTTAGAAAGTCTCGCTCTGGTCATTCCTGTGGCTTGCAAGATATTCTTCGAATCCCTTCCTTCTTAGAAACAATTGCTTTTTCCCACTACTTTTGATGATTGATACATATTAGAGATTCCGTCCCAGCCTCTGTTCACACTTTCAGACCGAATTCGGTCAAAATATCCATTTATCATGGTGGGAAAAGTCACAATTGAATTCAAGGTATCAGAAAGACCTAAAAGTCGGTTTCTACGAAGGAAAAAAATGAACTGGATAAAATATGGCTATCCTCAAATGACAAAATGATTCAGAAGATGTACAAATTTCTATTAGATGCCTATATGGAAGATGAAGTGCTGAAACATAATATGGTTGTCTGGACGAGAGACAGGGAAAATTATCACTCTAGATAATTAGGCCAAGATATGGAAATCATTTAAATTCATGAGAGCAGCGAACTATAGAGAAAATATTTTTAAAATTTTCCATAGATGGTACTGGCCACCGGAACGATTAGCAAAATGTTATGCTGGTTGTTCCAATACATGCTGGAAATGTAGAGCAAATGTAGGAACATTTTACCACATGTGGTGGAGCTGTATGGAAGTACGGAAATACTGGGAAAAAGTACAAAAAATAATAGAAATAATTGTTAATGTAAAGCTTGATTTGATGCCTGAAATTTACCTACTAAATATTATGCCTGAAACGTTTAATTTCAATGAAAAATATGTAATTGTATATGTGGTTACAGCTGCCAGAATATTGTGGGCTAAATATTGGAAAACGGAAAGTACACCTAAAATAGAAGAGATAACATATAAAATGATGGAAGTAGCAGAGATAGAAAAACTGAATGTGATATTACAGGGGAAAAAGGACGAGACTTATGTGGAAAGATGGAAAGGGTTATATAAATGGCTAGAATGTGAAAACTGACTCTAAACTTATGTATTATGACAAAATATATAAATGTCTGTTTTGTTTGGAAAATGTAAAATAAAACTTTTAAAAAGAAAAGAAAAGAAGCTGACCGAGCTGGATCTCCAGCATAAATCCATCATTTCCCGATTTCTTTACATCGAAGAACAAAGGGGTACTAAAGAAGCAATGCGATAACCCGAAGATAAGCGCGTAAGGTAACAAAGCTTTTTTTGCTTACCGCATGGGAGGCTCAGCGAAAATGGAATCAAGTGGTTGAGCATCTTAGAACTTAAACGAAACAACTAGCTTCAATACGATAAAAAAAGAGCTATGCAAAGTGCCAAAATAATGCAAAAAGTGACTTTGTTTAACATTCCTGTGGCTAGTTAAGTTAAACAGTTGAGTGAAGAACCGAAACTGACGGGAAAAGTCGCAAGACTATGCTATGTGGTGAAGGTTCTTTTTTTTTTTTTCTTTTTAACCGGAACTGTGACTGTGGGAGACAAGTGAGGTGCTAAAGTGGGCTTGGAGGTCGAGTGAAGACCGGAAGTTGATCGGTAAGGTGAAGGTGAACACCGGAAGTTCAAAGGGCCGGTTTTCATGTTACAATAGGAAGTATACAAGGAACCTGCTCTAGCCAGAAAATCATAGAAAAGTTCCGCCCACCATTTTGGGGAGGACTGAAAGTAAAATTTCAATTTAAGCTTTAATTAGAGCGGAGAAGAAGTGGATCGATCAAGCGCTTCCTAAACTATTGAAGACGTGAAAAGTGGAGCTGGCAAGGAGATTTTAAAGTTTCAAAACGGATCCGAAGTGGAGACTAAGGTCAGCCTCTGTATCAAGTCCCAAGATGGCAGGTAAAGAAAAGAAAGAGTGGCAGGCAGCAATTGATGGAATGGAGAAGAAAATGACTGATCTAATTCAAGGTTTGGGAAAACAACTGGAGAAGCAAATGGATTTACAAATGGCAAAACATATGGAAAAGCAATTAGAACAGCTGGAAGAGGTACAGGAAAAAATGTGGCGGCAATTAAAGAGTTGGTGGTAGCAGAGTTGGCTGAAATAAAAAAGGATGCGACAGAGGTCAAAAAAGAAGTGCAAGGTCTAACTACTAAAACGTCAGAAATGGATCAGAAAACACAAGATTTGGAGAAAAAAGTGGAAGTTTCAAAACAAGAGGTTGGAGTCAGTGATGGACTATAGATTTATGCAATACCATCTGAGACTGAGAGGAATAGAGCAAAAAGAAGATGAAGATATATGTGCAGTTGTGATTACCTTGCTAACTGAATATTTGGAGCTAGAAGGTGAGATTGATTCGAGATTTGACTATATATATCAAGTGAACTCATTATATGCTGAGAAAAAGAAATTACCAAAGGATGTGATTGTACAATTGACGACACAAAAGTTGAAAGATGAAATTTTTAAGAAGCAATTTAAACAGGCTTTAATGATTGATGGCAAGAAGATAATAATAATGAGAGAACTTCAAAGAGCGATTTTACTGGAGAGGAAGAAATACAAGAAGTTAGCGGATAAACTGAAAGAATTAAACATCAGATTCAGATGGGAAATACCACAAGGGCTGACCTTTACCTACCAAGCTTTGAGATACACAATTAGAAACATGAACGAACTTTGCAGATTCAAGGCGGACAATATAACTGATTTTGGTGAAATCTAAGACAACACTATGGATTACAAATTTTTATCGTGGAACGTAAATGGGCTAAATTTGCCCAATAAAAGAAAATTGGTGAGACATTGGTTGGAAAAGCAAAAATGTAACATAATTTGTCTACAAGAAACACATATTAAAAAGCAGGACTATAAATATCTGATAAATAAAAAACTTGGAGAAGAATTTTATTCCTTGGCATCCAAAAAAACTAAAGGAACGGTTTTGTATGTGAAGAAAGAATTAGATCCAAAAGAAATTTTCTGTGACAAAGATGGCAGATATATTGGAGTGGAAATAACGATGCATCAGAAAAAGACTTTGATTGTTAATGTGTATGCTCCTAATGGAGCAAAAGAAAACTTTTTAAAAGACTTGATGAGTGAATTGGACCAAGTGAGCTACGAGCAGATGCTCGTGGTGGGAGATTTCAATGGCACTGTAAATAACAAATTGGATCGACAATCTAAGAAGGGAGATGAGAAGATTGGAAAACTACCTAAGGTCTTTTTTAAGTTGATTGACCAGGAAAAATTAGAGGATGTTTGGAGGAAATGGAATCCACAAATTAAAGATTTTACTTTCTATTCGAATAGACATAATTCCTTTTCAAGAATCGATATGATTTGGATGTCAGGAGAATTGGTATTGAAAACTCAAAAGGTTGAAATTTTGCCTAAGATTTATTCAGATCATAACCTGCTACTATGGACTTCTAGAGAAAGAACAATACAAAGATGTTGGAGATTAAATGAAGACTTACTGGATAAAAAAACTGTTTTAGAGACTCTAAATAAAGAAACACATGCATTCTTTCAAACGAATTTAAACAAAGAAACGAAAATTCAGATGGTATGGGATACATACAAAGCAGTGATGAGAGGACTACTTATATCATTGAATGCAGGTGATAAAAAAGAAAGATTAAAGAAACAGACGTATTTAGTGGAGAAAATACAGCAAAAAGACGGAGTTAAAGAAGAAACCAGGGAAGAAAAAAAATATTAGAGAAATACAAATCCTGCAAGAGCAACTGAATGAGATTGCAAACTGTGAAATGTATTGGAATTTAAAGAAACTGCAACAAAAATCATTCGAAGGAGCAAATAAACCAGGAAAATTTTTGGCTTGGCAATTAAAAAATCGAAGAGAGAAGAGGTCAATAACCAAAATAATAGATGAAGACAAAGAATTTACGGATATAAATGGTATTAAACGTGCATTTTTTTAAGTACTATGCCAAATTATTTCAAAAAAAGAAGATTGATTTGGAAAAAATAAAGAACTATTTAGATAAAGTGAAGTTACCAGAGATTAAAGAAAAAAATAAAGAATTGTTGAATGCTAAAATTCAAAAAGAAGAGATATATAGAGCGATAGAAGATGTTAAACTGGGGAAGGCTCCGGGACCAGATGGATTTACTGCAAAATTTTATAAAAAAATGAAAGAGGAGCTCACCCCGATTTTTGAACTTCTGTTAAATGAAATTAGAGAGACTAAAAAGATTCCGGATACCTGGAAGGAAGCTAATATTTCGCTTATACCGAAAGAAGGTCAAGAATCAACAAATGTCAAGAACTATAGGCCGATCTCTCTTCTTAACAACGATTATAAACTTTTTGCCAAAATAATTTCTGAGAGAGTGAAGAACTATCTGAAGGATGTAATATCCGAGGAACAAGCGGGATTTTTGCCAAATAGACAGATTGGAGACAATGTAAGAATGGTCATTGATGCAATTGAATATTATGATAAACACCCCGAAAAAGAAGTTGGATTTTTATTTGTGGATGCAGAAAAAGCTTTTGACAATTTAAATTGGGATTTCATGTTTCGAGTGTTCGAAAAAATGGATATTGGACAACCTTTTATGAATGTGATTGAAGCAATATACTCTGACCAGAAGGCAACGTTAAACGTAAATAAGTCTATGACGGAATATTTTAGGGTTCAAAAAGGAACAAGACAAGGATGTCCCTTATCCCCATTATTGTTCATTTGGATTTTAGAAGTTTTATTGGGGAAAATAAGAGATGATAATGACATTAAAGGACTTACTTTAAGAGGTTTCTCATACAAATACAGAGCTTTTGCGGATGATGTGATGTTTGTGGTTGAAGAGCCAAGGCGGAACTTACCGATATTGTTGGATGCAATAAAAAAAATTGGAGACTTGGCAGGTTTTTATGTTAACAAAAATAAAACTAGGTGTTGTGTAAGAATATGACAAAAGAACAACAATTGAAGCTGCAAGAGGAAATACAGTGTGAAGTAGTTAAAAAAACTAAATACTTAGGAATTGACGTGACAATGAAGAATATAGATCTTTTTAAGAACAACTACGAGAAGCTTTGGACTAAGATACAAGAGGATATTAAAAAATGGGACACCTTGAATTTGTCGCTTTTGGGGAGGATATCGGTGGTCAAAATGAATATTTTACCTCGTTTAATGTTTTTGTTTCAGACGATTCCGATAGTTAGAGACTTCAAGGTGTTCAATCAGTGGCAAAAAGAAATATCAAAGTTTGTATGGGGAGGGAAGAAACCAAGGATTAAAATGAAGATTTTATGTGACGCAAAAGACAGAGGAGTTTTTCAATTACCGAATTTAAGACTTTATCATGAAGCGGCGTGTCTAACATGGCTAGCGCAATGGATTAATTTGGACAATCAAAAGGTGTTGGCGTTGGAGGGACATGATTGTAAGTTTGGATGGCACGCCTATTTATGGTATGAAAAGGCAAAAATTGACCATTTTTTCAAGCACCACTATATAAAAAGATCACTATTTGAGACGTGGACTAGATATAGAAAGTTTTTTTTTAGCAAAGACCGTTGTGGATTGTGCCGGCAGAAGTACTGAAACCAGTTTCAAGATATAAAGGTGAAGATTGGTTACCGTATCGAGATATTCTGAAGATAGAAGGAAAGACTATTGAAATAAAAGCAAGAGAGGAGTTAGACTTTGAATATGATTGGTTGAATTATAGACAGATTTATGACCTATTTGTAACGGACAAAGAGAAATATGGTTTTAGGGGGAAAAATAATGAAATGGAATGTGTTTGGGTAGAAATGGGAAAAAATATGATTTCTAGAATTTATAAGATTTTGTTAGTTTGGTACACGGAGGAAGAAACGGTAAAAGAGCAAATGATAAAGTGGGCTATAAATATGAACAAAGAAATAAGTATGTCAACTTGGGAATATTTATGGAAGTATTCAATGAAAATTTCGACTTGTAATAATTTGAAAGAAAATTGTTATACAATGATGTATAGATGGTACATGACTCCAAAGAAAATTGCTAATATGAATGTAAATATGTCAAACAAGTGTTGGAAGTGTAAGAAACATGAAGGCTCTTTTTACCACATGTGGTGGACATGCGAGAAAGTGGTGACATTTTGGACAGAGGTCCATAATGAAATGCAAAAAATATTGAACTGTCAATTTAAAAAAGAACCAGAAATATTGCTTTTAGGCCTTAAGGTGGAAGAGTTAAATGTTGTTAAAAGAACTTTGTTTTGGTATATGATTACAACAGCTAGAATGACATATGCTCAGTTTTGGAAACAAGATAAAATCCCTGAGATATGGGATTGGATGAAGAAAGTACTTTTTATGGCCGAAATGGACAAACTGACAAGAAAGCTGAATGACAAAGAAGATGAAGAGTTTTTTGAAGAATGGAATGATTTTAAGGATTATTTGGAGAATAATTGGGATGTGAAAAATAGTTTGCTTTGCTTTGAGAATTATTAAAGACATTATGAGTTGCTAAATTGAAAACGGAAATATAAGGTTACCGAAGATATTATATGATTAAGAACTATGGTAGTTTTAACTATGATGATATAGAAAAAGATTGAAGGGTTTAAGCATTGCGGGAAGCCAAGATTGTGGGGGGGAGGGAGAAAAGAAAGGATATACATGAGAATGATTTGTAACATTGAAAATGTTGTTATATCCTGTATAATAAAAATTTCGTGCAAAAAAAGGGGGGGGAGAAAGGAGTGTCTTTTCTGGTTCTGATCTCTGTTTACTATCGGTCACAAGAACTCAGAATAAGCCCCCGTTGTACATAAAACGGATTTGGGCTAGTGGATAAATCCTCCACCAGAGGATTTTCGCTAACACAAGCTTTTCCCTTTCTTTTTAGCCATATCTTCGCTCTGTTTTAATCCCATGCTTTTGTGTCTCCTACTGAATCAGATTTTATTTCCACACAGATAAAACTTCCTGCTATAACACCAAGGTATCCACACAGAAAACCGCAACCTATTGCATCTAAACAATTCCATGGAGAAAACAGGCTTTACTTCCCCCCATCGTAAGCAATATATAGTTTCTGTGTCTTTGGCAGACATAATAATTCTAGAGCCTATTGTTTTGCAAGTGTAAGTAACTGTTCTAAAAAGTGTTAAAGTGTACATTGTATTGTATTACCCTTGGTTACACTTCAGTTAATGTTATTAAATCTTATTGCAAACAAACGTACTGCAAGTTTACCAGAAAAAAGCACCTTACCTATAAAATACATCAAGATCAAATCTGTACTTTCAGAATCTTAAAGTTAATTTATACAATGCTTTTGTGGAGGTATACTAGCAATAGGTTGATGGACATGTCCTGTGCCAGATCTCTGTTTTTGGTTAGTGCACCAGACAGGAAGCTTTGCTGGACCCACCGGGTGATGGTGGGATGGTTTGTGGTAGTGGCAGGAGCCCCACCCCAGGGGAGGGGGACATTTGGAGCATGTTGAGTGGAACTTGAATGAGCTGGGTCATTTGGGGTCTGTAATACCCTCAGACCCTTAGACGTACTTACCATAGGGTTTCCCCCCCCTAACTGAAGATGCATCAGTCATGATATTTTTCTTTATAATGGTAAGACTAAATCACTTTTTGTGGAGGTTTGTGTGTCTGTTCTTATTGGCTGAAATTCAGAGAACCACGTGACATGTTCAGGCACCCCAAGGGAGCCCTGGGCCACATGGCAAACTGCTTTGGAAACCAAGCAGGATTTAAAGAAAACTCATTTGTGATATGGCGTGGTCTAATGTTGAAAGGAATAAAACTGTCTTCCACACAGGTTAAACTTCCCCCTGTTCAATGCTTTGGGGGAGTAGTTTTTCCCCTGTTTCCCCACAGCAATTGTGATGCAATTGTGCACCTCCAGGGGTTTCCTTGGATTTTCCCTGATCTTTTCCCAGTTTGTTTTGACCCAAAGGTTTGGGTAAGACTGCACTAAAGCCCGTCTGGCTGCTGTATGGGTGGGATTTTACTTGATCTTCTCTGCACAGCAGCCATTTCCTTCCACCAGGGAGTTTTTACTCGTCTGAATACTGGCACTAGAATGTTGCTATATCAGCATATCATTGTGCCCAGGGCTCGTTCCCTGCAGGAGCGCACAGGAGTGGAGCTCCGGCAGTAATGAGCCCAGGGGGCGGACACATAAAACAAGCCCCACCCCCTGCTCCCAGCAGCCCTCAGTCAGAGCAAGAAGCAGCCAGGTAAGCTGCAGAGCCCCCCCTCCGGTCAGCCTCCTCCAGCACCACATTTCAAATGACTCCACTTTCTTCCCGTGTTCTTTCTTCTTTGTCCAACTTTCACACCCATACATAGTAACGAGGAATACTGTGGCATCTTGATCTTGGTCGCCAGCATTAGAAAACTTATACAGCCGCAGGTTCCCAGAGCATATACCGTGTGCTCAATCCTGACACGTGATGGCGTTTGCATTTTTATTTTCTGATTAACTGGTTCTCAGTTTCCTGAGTTCTGCGAGTCACTTGGTACTTAACAGCAGCACTGTTTCCTCCCCATCATTTATCTCATTATTGTATAAATATAATGAATCAAGAAACTACGGCTCAAATAAATGAACTCCAACTCCCAGTGGCGCAATCTGTAACTCACATTAACCATTTTGACACATGAAAAAGCTGCAGGTTTTGCGTGTTTTTTAAATGTGCCGTTTAAGATAAAGAACTGGTTAAAAGGTGTCTTGGTTACCCAGGAAGAAGAAAAGATGACTACCATCTTTTTTCCCTTTCCCTTTTATGACTCAGTCGGTACCTAATGTTTTCCTTGTAGGCCTGGTCAGAAAAAAAACGAACCTGTAAACTTCAGTAAACTGATGAGCAGTGGCTATGGCAATGAGTGGCTCCAGCAACACGATGACTGGGAAAAAAAGAATCCCCAGGCTAAGGGTAACGTATTGCAATTCCTTTTGTTTTCCCTTTAAAAAATAATAATGAACGCCATTGTCGCTGCAAATAAGCAACAAAGCTAGACATAGGCATATGCGTCTCTTGAAGCCACGATACGGCCCAGTAGACGAGCTGTAGAAAGCAGGGATCTCCGTTCACAGCTTCTCCGTTTCCTCATTCTGCACTCTTTTGTTTTCCCTTTAAAAAAAAATAATGAACGCCATTGTCGCTGCAAATAAGCAACAAAGCTAGACATAGGCATATGCGTCTCTTGAAGCCACGATACGGCCCAGTAGACGAGCTGTAGAAAGCAGGGATCTCCGTTCACAGCTTCTCCGTTTCCTCATTCTGCA